TCTACCACACACTGCTTTAAAAATTTTAAAATCTGAGAATGTTACTACCCCTTTCCATTTTTGTTAATGTACCACTGTGAATAAACTTTATTCAAATATTTAACTTACAGGTCATATATAGAGCATTGAGATGAACAGTGTAAAAAAGTGTAAAAAGTGCAAGCTCAGTGCTAAACTTACTCAAATGTATTCATAGTTCATCTCCTGAGTTTTACTACTTTACTAGCACGGCATACAGTAGGATAAATTCTGGTATAATTGGCTTCATTAATAAACACACACACACACACACACACATATATATACACACACACACACAGATTATCTTATTTCATAGTTCTGGCATAGTTCTGACACATTTTATAATGTGCCCTTTATACGGTACGAGTGCCCATTATATGCAGGAATCAAGCCCTACCTGTACATTCAGGGTTGTAGCACTCTCTGCTTTCTGCCCATGGCCCTCTGCATTCGGAGCCTCCATGGGCAGCTGCAGTGCACTGCCGGCTTCTCTGCTGAGTCCCATTCGAGCACGTTACTGAGCACTGGCTCCATGAACTCCACTCTTGCCACTGTCCATCAACTACCAAAGCAGAAAAAGAGACAGTATAAGGATATCTTCCAATAGGAGAGGCTGTACAGAAAGTACCTGGTGAAACCACCCTTGAAGACAAACCCCTATCAATGGACTATGAATTAATACAATGGAAGGTCACACCAGCATGAGATTTTATTAACTCCCCAAATATTATTACCTTATTTTCCCACTTTTATTTTCTTTTATATATCCAGCATATCTTTTTTGTTTTGTTTTGTTTTGGAGATGGAGTCTTGCTCTGTTGCCCAGGCTGGAGTATAATGGCACGATCTCAGCTCACTGCAACCTCTGCCCCTGGGTTCCAGCAATTCTCCTGCCTCAGCCTCCCAAGTAGCTGGAATTACAGGTGCCCACCACCACATCCCAGAATAATTTTTGTATTTTTAGTAGATATGGGGTTTTACCATGTTGGTCAGGCTGGTCTCAAACTCCTAACGTTAGGTGATCCACCAACCTCCCAAAGTGCTGGAATTACAGGCGTGAGCCACTATGCCAGACCTCCAATATATCTTTTGATTCGCTTATTTCTTCAAAAATATTTATTGATCACTCAAACATGCAACACATTGTGCTAGGAGATGGGGTACACAAAACAGTGAACAAATTAAATACTGAGCAAGACCTTATCGAGCTCATGTTTTAAAGAAAGAACCCCTAGAAATAAACCAGAAATTGCATGCTAGATAAATCAATTACATGGCAGTGTTGCAAAGGATAGTTTCAGGACATTGTGAGATAAGACTTGGGAAGGTCCAGAGAGTCTTCCTTGACAAACTGAAGCTTCAGGCAAGCCTTGAAGGATAATGGGAAAATACTTAGGATAAAGGTATGTTCCATGCAGGGGAATATACAAAGGTCTTTGGAAGAAGAATCATGGGCATTTCCAGGAACTAGAAGAAGGTCATTGTGAAAGGCATCTAGAGTGCTGGGTGAAGAGAGATTGCAGAAGTTTTAAAAAAGAGAGAGGCTAGATTTTGCAAAACTTTCATCAGCTGTGTTAAGGATTTTGAGTATTATTTTCAGATGTTTAAGAAGCCATTGAACAATTTAAATAATAAATTATATTATCAGATCTAGCGTAGGATTGAGGCCAAATTACAGAAGTTGGGAAGGATCTGAGTTGTGATGATGAGGCAGTGCAGATGCAATGTCTGGGAGAGATTAGAAAGTTACTAGGAATGGGTGGTGAGAAGAAACTGAAGAACTGGCCATGGGAGCTGAAGCAAAGAGAGGATCCAGGTGACTCTTAGATGGCTGTTTTCTGGTGACTGGAATTTAATATAGACTGCTGAGCTTGATTTATCTTTGGGAGATTCAAATTGAGATTCATGTATTCATTCATTCAAATAACTTTTGAAAATCTATTAGTCATCAGACACTGTGATAGGTGTTAAGAAGATACACAGAAATAAAAGAATATAAATCCAAACTCAAAAATTTTATAACTTAGGACATTCTGCATGCAAGCAAATAAATAAATACATAAATAAAAGTTTAAAGACAATACCATGTTAACATGAAACATGAAGTATTTAGGCTTCAGAGGACATACTGCATCTGTTGGGGATGTAATTATAATAGACATAGAGTGCTGAGTTATGGATAATTTAGACCAAGTCAGCATTGACAAAGGCATAATCCCATATGCCACAAAATAGAAATGAGCAAAGGATTTAACCAAAAATACTTTCCGGATTAGAATGTGCAAACTAGCATGTAAATGTTATAAATGCATCAGTTTATGGATGTCTACTTTTTGCCAATATCAGTTCATGGTTCTTAGTCAATTTGATCACACGTGAAAGAGAATTCACCACAAATCCAAAGTTTCAAAATAAGCTAATATTGCCATGAAAATCTATCCAAATAAACAAGAAAGCCTGGCAGAATATAATAATTACCTTCAACCTAACTTCAAGCCTTACATGTAGGTATTAAAAAGAGGTTGTTTAATAGGTATCTAGCTGTACTTAATAAACCCTTTATGAGATTTTATAAAAATCACAAAATGTCAATTTAATCATTCCATTAATGTAATTTTAGCATCTCACTTTATTAAAAGTACCTGATACAATCATATTGGCTATGTAGTCCATTTTCCAGACTAAAAAGAAAATTCTAGTGAAGCAATAGGATATTATAAATTATCTATTTCTCCTCTATTTTAGCTTTAAACATGAGTGCATTTTTCATTTCAGAATTTTTCTATTCAAAGATAACATTTATTGAGCTTGCAGTATGAAGCCTCACCATCCTAAGCATTCTGAGAAGGGTTTATAAAAAGAGATTCATGCCCTACGCCTTACAATCTATTTGGCAAAAGGATGTAGTTATGCACACTATTGAGAACATTCAGAAAGAAAGCAGCACATTAACAAAGGTGAATTAGGTGCTGCTAAGCTAATCTTAGTGCTTAGTGACTAGAATAAAGGACTTTGTGATGTCCTTAAGTATTCTGGCTTAAGGTAAATTTTGATTATGATTTATTATGAAAGCAATAGTTATATGCTTTCTGGCAAAGAGAGGAAAAGACTGTCTGGCAAAGATGTGATGTCTAGAATGAGCAAGTCAAATGTGGAAATCAGAGAGAAAACAATTTGGCAGGGGACTGTATTTCTATGAAGAATTAGGAAGGACCTTGCTGAGATGATATTAGGAAGAACAAGAACATCTATTTGTGAAGTGTTTTGCTCATCAGGCTTTTACTGAAATAAGACTGCATCAATAATAAAAAAATGTTTTGAGACTTTAAATTCATATATTTATAGTTATAGTTGTTCAACCCCTTCTGACCATGTACATATTCTGTGTTAATGTTAAAGCTTAAGAGTGAGTTAATATTAGAAATCTGAGGACAATTTGAGGTTCAGTGCTACTATAAACATCCACAAAACATGTATTTTAGATGGAGTCAGTTTTGTTCACAAAGTCAGTAACAGAAAAAAATAATACAATTGAAGATGTATCAAGTGGGCATTTTTTGCGATTTTATTTTAACACTGAGAACCGAAATATCCTTTTATTGAAAATTAATGGCACTTTTTTTTTGCAAGCTTTTAAAATTATTTTAAATTATACTTTAAGTTCTAGGGTACATGTGCACAACATGCAGGTTTGTTACATATGTATGCGTGTACCATGTTGGTGTAATTGCACTGTTATGAAGGAATTGGCTTGACAAAATAACTCATTGGATATAAAAAACAAAGGAGGAAAGGCCTAATATTTCTTTAGTGTGTCAAGTCCAAATCACTGAGAAAAGAGATAATTGAAAAGTCAGGTAAGAGAGGAATATATAAATTTAACTTAAAAAACTAGACAACAGACTATATATATACATACACATATATACACATATAATATATACACACACATATATAAACATATAATATATACACACATATATACACAGACAACAGACATTATATATATATATGTTTTTATATATATGACTTTTAGTGCCAACTATGAGACATTGTTTTATTTTTAAGTTTTTCTTTTCAGTGATATTCTGGATTAAAAAAAATATTAATGGATTTGTTTTACGGGTCATAGCCCCATAACACTTCTGGGAACAGTAGTGTCATTTTACTGAATGAGAAAAAAATAGAGAACAGGGAGGCTTTTGGGAGGTGGAAATTAAGAGTTCTGTTTTGGATATTTAAGCATTTCCAGATAGAATTTGTGCATTATCTTTTAGGGATAAATGTAGAGAAATGTAAAAATAAAACCAATTTATCATATAATGTATCTCTATATCTTTTTTTATAACCACTCACCTAGGTTCTCCAAGATGTGAAGGAACAGCTTTTTTCTTGTTATCTGATGTTTAACTGGGGAGCTAAAGTGGGGAGGAAGCTGCTTCTCCTTCAACCCTGCATGCAGGATTGGCTTTTTAAATTTTATTTTATTTTATTTTTTAATTATACTTTAAGTTCTAGGGTACATGTGCATGACTTTTTACCTGGCTCAGCAGCGAGGTAGTAGAGACAATCAATGCCTCTACCCACTCAATGCCTGTTCCTTGTGTACGGCTTACTTCCAATATTTGTAAGAGGGACCTCTCAGGGTCATTGTAAACCTACAAATTTAAAAACACCTCAAAGCTTTCTTTCTGAAACTGTATTTCTATTGAAAATGGATTCACATCTCAGCATTCTGTCAGAAAAGAGTTCCCTGGTAAGTTGGGAAAACGTAACCACTCCACAATCCCCCTCAGAGTCTCATAACACACACAGGAGTAAAAATTTATAGAGAATTTAGTCTGTGATTGGCATTGCTCAACTGTGCCACGGGGGAGCTGTGGTGATTAGGACTGGCTGAGCTCTGCTCTTATGAACATATAGTCTGGAGGCTGTAGTGGGGGCAGATGATAAACGAGCAAAATGAATAAACCAGAGCGTTTCACTAGAGGTGTTATGAAGACAACGTGCTAAAGAGGGCGATGCGACAGGGAGTGCTCAGGCAGTCTCAGGAGGGGACGATATTAGAGCTGAGTCTGAATCACTGCACAGAGCCAACTCTTAATTTCCACTTTGCCAAAGCCTCCCTGTCCTCAATTTTTTTCTTTTTCAGTAAAATGACACTAGGGTTTCCAGAAATGTTATGGGGCTGAGGACTGTAAAATAAATTAACTAATAATTTTTTTAAAATCCAGAGTATCACTGAAAATAAAAATTAAAAATGAAGCAATGTCTCCTATTTGGCACTAAAAATTATTTTACATGTAAAATATCTGTTGTCATGTGAAGGTCTGTGTTCAGGAACAGAGAGAAGGCTGCTGCTTGTGGGGATCCTGGAAAAGGAGAGGTGGCAAGAGATGGGTTCAGATGCTGCGCAGAAGCCAGATCTTATAGGGCCCTATAGGCCATGCAACCAGGGAAGATGCAAAGTATGAGAAGATTTTAAAGTAAGGAAGTGATAAGATATAATTTACATTTCAAAACTTAATATTGTGGTTTTGTGTAGAACGGATGGTACAGGGG